CCCCCCCCCCCCCCCCTCTCTCTCTCTCTCTCTCTCTCTCTCTCTCTCTCTCTCTCTCTCTCTCTCTCTCTCTCTCGTTCTCTGTATATATACATGCATTTAAAGTTATAAATATATGTCCTCCTGCATAATTTAATTAAACGAAACCATCTCAAAGATGCTTCAGATTAGAGCAATGTTATTGGGGTCTAGAATATCAGCTCAGAATCGTTTTATCTTCTTTATTTTTATCACGCAAACGTGGACTTTATCTCGTCTACCAATTTCGAAACATCCCTTCGGATCAAAGCGTGTGTTAACTGTCAACTGGCCAGATCGTATTGGATTTTAAACTGCTTGTACACCAACGGATGACTGGATGAACGTCAAGCACACGTTGCTTACCGCAGATGCACCAGATGCACAAAACAAAGAAGGGTTGAAACCCTTCCAGTGTGACCGGAAATTGTATAATTTCCTCGCATTCTGTACATCTATAATAGTTCTGTACATCTATAATAGTTGCTTTGTCTTGAATACCAATGCTGATAGCATGCATATATACGAATGAAGCTACGAATTGACCGACCCCCTCCCCTCTCTCTTTCTCTCTCTCTCTCTCTTCTCTCATGAAAAAATAAATCTAAAATATGTAAAAATCTAATATATGAAATAAAACATTTTTGTACATTCATTTTCAACGAAAATGAATTCGAAGATTGAAAAACTAATAATATTTCCTTTTAATTCTAGAATGATTTAAGAATTTTATATCATTAATAAATCTATTTCATCAGAAACAGATCAAAAAAGATGCGAAAATGATATTCCATTAAAAATATAAAAGTAATCTCGATGTTTTACATAACTTTTTTTATAATTTAAAATTATTTTATTTTATTGAATAAAATGTTATATTTGTTTTTATTTATTTATTTATATATTAATAGCCATGAACAATTTCGACAATGAATGATACAATAAGATTGTTAAAAAAGATTATAATTAAAAGTAATGATATTAAACTTCGATTATTAAAGCCATTTCTCTTGGAAACAAAATTTTATGCGAAAAAATGTTGTATTTATTTTTTTAGTAAAAATTTTTTATATAAAATCTCCTTTATATTACTAAAGGTCAAAGTTTAGAAATATTCTGTACAGCATAGCTGTAAAACTGTCGAATTACGTTTTAATTAAAAAACAACAAAACAATAGAAAATTTAATTTTATGTTCCATAATTTTCACGAAAAAATGAATGATGGTAAAGTGCTTAGAGATTTAGAAAAAAAGACGTCCTAGAACTCTCTTCGAAAATCTTTTCGATTCGTTGGTTGTACTAGTACAAATGACTTCAATATCCTCAAAACGCTTCTCTTTCGAGCATAATCTGATTTTGAGAAAGAGGAAGCAATCGACCGGCACCAAATCCAGTCAATGAACTACATAGATGTTACCACACTGGATTTGTTTCTGTGTCAAAAAGCTGGAAAAGTCTTATACATGATAAGACGCGGACAAATCTCGTATATCTTAATTTTTCATATTTTTCTTTAGAATTTACGATTGAGAATGAACGATTTCTTTATCAATGTTCAATATTTTGTTGATTATTCGAATCATAATTTGAATCAACACACACGACTAATGTATAGGTCTGTTTTTTATTGCTGCACTCTCTGAACTGGTGCAATAAGTTGAAATGAAACAAATGTATATTTGTTTCACTTCAACTTATTGCACTGTGTATACTAATTCCAAAAGTGCAACAATAAAAAACAGAGCTTTTAAATATTAATCATATACATCTTAAATGGATTTTTAATCTTCTTTAAAACTTTTGTATCATTTGAATATCGTACTCTAAGACAAATATACTTTCTGTCAAACCTTCTTTTATATAATTTTTACTTAATAATATAAAAACTAAATGCAATTAATAAAATCTGAAACAGAAATTCATGTCTCCCATTATGTCTCCATGACGACAGCATCACCATTACATAATCATCCGAAGAATTCATTCTTGAAAAGTCAACATTTTTCCCTAAAGAAGCAATTAGCTGGTCTTTTTGATTCGAAGACTTTTGGTATTACGACCTACAGATTGTAACTCAACTATACTAGAATAGAAAAAAGAAGAAAAAGAAGAAAAAGAAAAAAAAGGAAAGGCCATACGAAGAGAAAAATTAGATCTAACAAGCATTGTGAAGAGCATTTTAAAATTATACGACTGTATTACGATCACCTATACACACACATACACACACACACACGCACGCACGCACGCACGCACGCACGCACGCCCGCACGCACGCCCGCACGCCCACACACACGCACGCACGCACGCACACACGCACACACAGGATGTTTGAAAAATAATGATAAATCTTTCGTATAGAGGCAGCATAAACTAAACTGAGAAGAAAAGTTCTCTACCATTTTGCAATTTTCGTAATAATTAACAAGATATTAATTGCTAAAAAATGGCCGAAAATTAGTCTTCAATAATTTTTTACTCAAACACTATCAATTTTACAGAAAAACTGTAAGAGACAAAAATTGTTTATTTTTTTCTCATAGAGCTTTAAAAATTTTTTTAGAAATTTTTCAGAATTTTTTAATATCATATTTTCTCATGATGGTAAAAATAAGAAAATGCAGTACTAAAAAGTTGATAAAAAATTTTGAAAAAATTCGTAGTTCTATGAGAAAAACTTAAACAATTTTTATCTTGTAATTTTTCTGTAAAGTTGATAGTATTTGAGTAAAAAATTATTAAAAACTAATTTTCGACAATTTGTAATAAATTAATATTTTATTAATTTATTGCGAAAATTGAAAGTTAAAACGTAAATATTCAATTTGATTGTTGATTGAGAAGGATCTGAACAAAGACCAAAAATCCTATTACAATTTATAAATATGTACATACAAATATATAATGTTGTCGGACGTAAAAAAAGATATTTTACTGCTATACATATCTGATCTTTTAAATGGTTATTTTCGTCTGTATTATGTAATGAAAAATTATATTAATTATTAAAATGGACTTCAAATAAGATTATGGGATCGAAAATAGAAAGGGATCTGCTATCTCGAATTTATCAGGAATATAACTGGCAAATTATTAATTGCAATCCGAACAACCATTAACGAATGATAAATAGTATTAAATTTCAAATATTTGGAAATGAGATAATAGCACCGTATATCTAATGCTCTCATGTTTCCGATTATCGAGGATTTATAATCCTCCATTTCAAGAAGGATTACTCAACTATTGAGAAACTAATTATTTAAATATTATGTATAGTTTCGAATAAATATATAAAAGCATCGATTTACTGCGATTACTTATATTTTTTTATCAATATATAATAAACGTATTCATACAAGAGCAGTAAAACAAGACTACAATAGTATTTCAGTGTCTTTCAATAGATTTATATATTGAAATTGTCGTTTTGGGTTTTAGAATAAAAACACTTATTTCATTGCTCCTTTCGATAAATTGCGACATACATGCCGCTGGTAAATATGAATAATTTACATTCTACATTACCTTAATTATATCGCATTACATACGTATTAATTATCTCTACTCATAAACAAACGCATTTGACAGTCTATATTTATATTAAATATAATATTAAGCTGATCGCTTTAAGAAAATAAAATATATTAGTAAGAATATAAGATAAAAAAACAAATATATTAGAGCCACGTAAAATTTACGATTAGTGTTCTACTTTGTAAAATAAATTTTACACTTAATAATATAGCATTTTATAAAATTTAAATTAAAATTAAGATGCTCACATCTTCTCTCTCATGCAAAAAATCTTAATAAATTTCAATCTATTAATTCGATTGTATCTACCAGGTACTTTGTAATAAACAGGGCCAAGATGTTACCATTATTTATGCCTGAGAAGTAATCAGTAGGATCAACTGCACATCATTTATATTCTGGTTAAGCACCATCACTATTTCAAATCAGTGTGCCGTTAAATTCCAAAAAATTTATCACATATAAAGCCCTCTATTATATCCAACAATCATTTTCTCGATCTTCGTCTCGGGTATAAGTAATGCTAACGTTCAAGTCCCGGTAATAAGATTACATCATTCATTTTATAATGATATACATGATGTGGCTTTACAGGAAAAATGCTTCGCTGAATTTTATTTGGCATACTTTGCGATTGGGATAAGTTACTGCATGGTTTCAACAATCAATGAGGAATGTCAGTGTGACACATATTACGTATGCATCTACTTTGTGCGCGTTTTAAGTATCAGTAACTATTCCTCGAACATTTAGGGATACAAGTCATATGTCAAATAAAAATCTATTGATCCGAAGAACATTGAGAAAATATGTGTGAATTAAAATAAATACTCCGTATTCCACCTCAATTTTCAAATAGATCGGCACAGTCTCGTCTATAGAATATGACATTATATTTTTAATCGAATTCGTTATAAACACTTTTACTTAAAATTTACAATAATAAATTGATAAAATTCATATAAATATATACAAGATAAAAAACTAATTTCAAAATATTAATACCCTTTATTTTGAAGAATAATGACACAGTTCCAAATGAGTAAAATGTATCCAAGCCCTTTCTATTCTGTAAAAGAAAAGTATGTAATTTTACATACACGAACAAGTAAAACTAAACATATAAAAATTATACATTGTATGTAATTATTTCCAAATCATATAAATTTTACACTTACGTTCACGATTTTACATAATTCTTTTATAGTATAATTTCTTCACCTTTTCTCTATTTCGTTATGCGTTTATTTAATTAAGTATCATCGAAATATGAGAAAAGTTCTCTTGATTTCATTTTCGAACGATCTCACTTATAATATTTCAAATTTCATTTTTGTGATTAACAAGAAAAGATCTGAATATACAAATTCGCTTGAAAGTTATTTGAAAGCACAGACAAGTGCGGAATGTAGAAGCCGATTGCTAGAGTTTCAAACAAATTCCAATTGACATAATCGATGATTAATTTAACCATAAATACTCACAGTAACCACAAATACTAACATTTTTCTTTTCCATGCATCAAACAATAAAAAATTCTATCTATGTTAACAAAATACTATAGATATTTCTTATTAATCATCGATTAAATTAATTGTTGTAATTTTAGTTGAAATCACTCTAAAATCTTATAGTATTACGTGTGTCTGTGAATAGATTGCAAGAAATTCGTTTATAATCGTAAGTTTAATTTAATAAACAATAATTTAATAAAATAAATTATGGTTTGGAAAAATAACAAATGATCGAAAAGGAAAGTTCTGTGTATTAAATTTCTCTCATAAACTGTCACGAGTGTGTTTCACACGTGATGTGAATGATGTATTATTTTATACTTGTTGTTCATCAAATATCAAAGAAGGATAAAATGATACATTATATGTATCGTATGTCAAACGCACGTAGTCTTCCAGATTGGTGTTTATCATAAAAAAAATTTATACTTCCCAAAATATTGACAAGTGAAAACAGTGATTTTTTGTTACAATGGATTATTTTTAAAATATCAAAGATTTTATTTTTTTTCATTTAAAAAATCAATGAAAACTATATTTACTCTATTTTCTTCTTCTGAATATTCAAAATTGATTTCTAATTTTAAGATAATAGAATTTAAGATAATAAAATTTTATCTGATCAGGTTCGAATCGAATAACATTCAATTAGATATGTTTACTATAAAAAGGATTTGCCATCTGTATAGAAAACCATGGACATCCATCTGGATTTGGATGAAGCCATCTACCCATACAGCAATGGAAATCTGCGAGATATACTAAAATCGTTCTGGATATTCGAAACATATTGCGATTTTCTTACGATATATGTAGTTCATTATAAGTATATCTCTGAAGTGTTCTAATATTGAATATTCAGAAAATCTCGATAAAAAATATATAAAAATTAAAGATAATCCGCATAAAAGAGGACACAGTCTAAGGGTACTTTAGGCGCTATAGTTAAAAATATATATACATGATTAGAATATATA